ACTGATTTTCATAAAAATGAAAAATGAGCGAAACGCAAACGGAGTTCTGTTTGTTCGTGTGAAGCAGCATCGTCTTCATCATGGTAAGTGTTGATGTTCACAGACAGACAGTCGGACAGACAGACAGACAGACAGATAGGCGGACGGACAGACAGATGTTGCACTGATGGACAGAATAACGGACTCTCCGTTCAGAAACCTGCAGCATCACAAACACACACAGATAACAGACGAGTTAAAATGAGCAGAAAATGAACGGAGTTTGGCGCAGAAACATTTTCTCTCTGCATGTGAAGCAGATAATCGAGTCCAGATCTGTGTGGGTCTGGATGAGGACCAGGTCTTTGGAGTCCTCATTGAGTCCACATGTGGTTGTTGTTGTTGAGAGAAAAGCAGAGAAAGGTCCACTTATTGATCTTATTGATCCGGTCCAGGTCGGACCAGTTCAGGCAGAGAGGGTTCTGATGTAGAACCTGTTAAACCGTGACAATGCTTACCAATGCGCAATTATAGATTATAGATTAGCAATTATTATTTATGCTTATTGTACATGAAACAGTTTGATTAATACTATTAAACTACTTTTTATTTTCACACATTTCAAACTGAAAATAAAGTTTGAAACAAACAATGAGTCGACTGATTGGAAATGTTTATTAATTGATCACTATTTTGATAATCAATGAACTGATTGAAGTATTTATTGAGGAAAAATGAATAGGTTCAGAATATTCCAGTTTGAATATGAACTTAATGAACAAACCAACAGCAATAATGGAGACAGACGACCACCCACCTAGAGCCGGAGGATCTGTCCTAGGTTTCTGCCTTTTAACAGGCAGTGTTTCCTTGCCCTTGTCTCCAAGGTCTTGCTCATGGTGGTACTGTTGGGTCTCTGTAATTAATGTTAAAGAGTTCGGTCTAGACCTGCTCTATTTGAAAAGTGTCCTGAGATAACTTCTGTTATGAATTGGCGCTATACAAATAAAACTGAATTGAATTGAATTGAGTAATCAGCAGATTGATTGGTGATGAATAATCAATAGTTTGAGCCGCAGCCTTTGACTCCAGCGGTTTCTGATCCAGAACCTGGTCTCTTGTGTTTCTGCACAAACTCCATGAAGCTTCACCACAGTTAGAATATTGATTGATATATTGATACATGTTTGTCTCTTGTTTGACGGACAGACTTTATGTTGTATGAAACCATAAACAAACATTTGAAGAGTTGTTCTTCTTCTTCTGTAAACAATAGTGTTGTCAGTTATTTTTCAGCGTACTTCCTGTTTGTGTTTGTGTGTCAGTCTGAGGAGGCGGCAGGAGTAGAGCGAGGCACGGAGGAGCAAGAGGAGGCAGGAGGAGGACGAGGAGGAGGACGAGGAGGAGGACAGGTTGCCATGGAAACGCCCAAAGGTCCCGTTTACTGTGTCTGCAGGAGACCAGACATCAACTGCTTCATGATGTAACAACAATCAAACATCTGCTCATTAATAACACAGTTCATCTATACAGCTGTTAACATCTGTCCGTCTGCCTCTCTGCCTGTCTGTCTGCCCGTCTGTCTGCCTGCCTGTCTGCCAGAGGGTGCGACAGCTGCACTGAGTGGTTTCATGGGAACTGTATCGGAGTTTCAGAAAAAGCAGCTAAAGCCATCAGAGTGTGGTACTGTCCGTCCTGCAGAGGTCAGTGAGCTCCGACATAAAGACACTGTGTCAGCTGTTAGCTGTCAGCTGTTAGCTGTTAGCTGTTAGCTGTTAGCTGTTAGCTGTTAGCGTTTAGCTGTCTGTTAGCTGTCTGTCAGCTGTCTGTTAGCTGTTAGCTGTCTGTTAGCTGTTAGCTGTCTGTTAGCTGTTAGCTGTCTGTTAGCTGTTAGCTGTTAGCTGTCTGTTAGCTGTTAGCTGTCTGTTAGCTGTCTGTTAGCTGTTAGCTGTCTGTTAGCTGTTAGCTGTCTGTTAGCTGTTAGCTGTTAGCTGTCTGTTAGCTGTTAGCTGTCTGTTAGCTGTCTGTCAGCTGTCTGTTAGCTGTTAGCTGTCTGTTAGCTGTTAGCTGTCTGTTAGCTGTTAGCTGTTAGCTGTCTGTTAGCTGTTAGCTGTCTGTTAGCTGTTAGCTGTCTGTTAGCTGTGGGTTAGCTGTTAGCTGTCTGTTAGCTGTCAGCTGTCTGTTAGCTGTCTGTTAGCTGTTAGCAGTCTGTTAGCTGTTAGCTGTCTGTTAGCTGTCTGTTAGCTGTTAGCTGTTAGCTGTCTGTTAGCTGTCAGCTGTCTGTTAGCTGTCTGTTAGCTGTTAGCTGTCTGTCAGCTGTCTGTTAGCTGTCTGTTAGCTGTCTGTTAGCTGTCTGTCAGCTGTCTGTTAGCTGTCTGTTAGCTGTTAGCTGTCTGTTAGCTGTTAGCTGTTAGCTGTCTGTTAGCTGTCTGTTAGCTGTTAGCTGTCTGTTAGCTGTCTGTTAGCTGTCTGTTAGCTGTTAGCTTTGTGTTAGCTGTTAGCTGTTAGCTTTGTGTTAGCTGTTAGCTGTTAGCTGTCTGTTAGCTGTCAGCTGTTAGCTGTTAGCTGTCTGTTAGCTGTTAGCTTTGTGTTAGCTGTTAGCTGTTAGCTGTCTGTTAGCTGTCAGCTGTTAGCTGTTAGCTGTCAGCTGTCAGCTGTTAGCAGTCTGTTAGCTGTTAGCTGTCTGTTAGCTGTCAGCTGTTAGCTGTCTGTTAGCTGTTAGCTGTCAGCTGTTAGCTGTTAGCTGTCTGTTAGCTGTTAGCTTTGTGTTAGCTGTTAGCTGTCAGCTGTTAGCTGTTAGCTGTCTGTTAGCTGTCAGCTGTCAGCTGTTAGCTGTTAGCTGTTAGCTAGTTGCTGTCTGTTAGCTGTCTGTTAGCTGTCAGCTGTTAGCTGTTAGCTGTCTGTTAGCTGTCAGCTGTGTGTTAACTGTTAGCTGTGTGTTAGCTGTTAGCTGTCTGTTAGTTGTTAGCTGTGTGTTAGCTGTTAGCTGTTAGCTGTGTGTTAGCTGTTAGCTGTTAGCTGTGTGTTAGCTGTTAGCTGTTAGCTGTGTGTTGTGTTCTTTGCAGACAGAGATCCATCTCTGGAGATTAAATACCGTCCGAAGAAGACCAAGGAGAAGGAGGAGAAAGAGTCGGAACAAGAGAGGGAGGACAAACTTGACGGAGATGGAAGGTCCACCCCCCAGCCCAAGATTGACAGGAGGCGGGGCTCACAGGTAACCAGTACTCCTTATAATACTGCGCTGCGTATAATACTGCGTATAATATTGTTATAATACTGTGTATAATATTGTTATAATATTGTTATAATACTGTGTATAATATTGTTATAATATTGTGTATAATATTGTTATAATATTGTTATAATACTGCGTATAATATTGTTATAATATTGTTATAATATTGCATATAATATTGCTTATAATATTGTTATAATACTGCGTATAATATTGTTATAATATTATAATATTGTTATAATACTGCGTATAATACTGCGTATAATATTGTTATAATATTGCGTATAATATTGTCATAATACTGCGTATAATATTGTTATAATACTGCGTATAATACTGCGTATAATATTGTTATAATATTGCGTATAATATTGTTATCATATTGTTATGATACTGCGTATAATACTGCGTATAATATTGTTATAATATTGTTATAATATTGTTATAATACTCCGTATAATATTGTTATAATACTCCGTATAATATTGTTATAATACTGCGTATAATATTGTTATAATATTGTTATAATATTGTTATAATATTGTTATAATACTGCGTATAATATTGTTATAATACTGCGTATAATATTGTTATAATATTGTTATAATACTGCGTATAATATTGCGTATAATATTGTTATAATATTGCGTATAATATTGTTATCATATTGTTATGATATTGTTATAATACTGCGTATAATATTGTTATAATATTGTTATAATACTGCGTATAATATTGTTATAATACTGCGTATAATATTGTTATAATATTGTTATAATACTGCGTATAATACTGCGTATAATATTGTTATAATATTGCGTATAATATTGTTATCATATTGTTATGATACTGCGTATAATACTGCGTATAATATTTTTATAATACTGCGTATAATACTGCGTATAATATTGTTATAATATTGTTATAATACTGCGTATAATATTTGTTATAATATTGCGTATAATATTGTTATAATATTGTTATAATACTGCGTATAATATTGCGTATAATATTGTTATAATATTGCGTATAATATTTTTATCATATTGTTATGATACTGCGTATAATACTGCGTATAATATTTTTATAATACTGCGTATAATACTGCGTATAATATTGTTATAATACTGCGTATAATATTTTTATAATATTGCGTATAATATTGTTATAATACTGCGTATAATATTGCGTATAATATTGTTATAATACTGCGTATAATACTGCGTATAATATTGCGTATAATATTGTTATAATATTGTTATAATACTGTGTATAATATTGTTATAATACTGCGTATAATATTGTTATAATACTGCGTATAATATTGCGTATAATATTGTTATAATATTGCGTATAATATTGTTATAATATTGTTATAATACTGCGTATAATATTGTTATAATACTGCATATAATATTGTTATAATACTGCGTATAATATTGTTATAATATTGTTATAATACTGCGTATAATATTGTAATAATACTGCGTATAATATTGCGTATAATATTGTTATAATATTGTTATAATACTGTGTATAATATTGTTATAATACTGCGTATAATATTGTTATAATACTGCGTATAATATTGCGTATAATATTGTTATAATATTGCGTATAATATTGCGTATAATATTGTTATAATATTGTTATAATACTGCGTATAATATTGTTATAATACTGCATATAATATTGTTATAATACTGCGTATAATATTGTTATAATATTGTTATAATACTGCGTATAGTATTGTTATAGTACTGGGTATAGTACTGCATATAATATTGTTATGATACTGCGTATAATATCATTATAATATTTTTATGATACTGCGTATAGTATTGTTATAGTACTGGGTATAGTACTGCATATAATATTGTTATCATATTGTTATGATACTGCATATAATATTGTTATAATACTGCGTATAATATTGTTATGATACTACGTATAATATTGTTATAATACTGCGTATAATATTGTTATGATACTACGTATAATATTGTTATAATACTGCGTATAATATTGTTATGATACTACATATAATATTGTTATGATACTACGTATAATATTGTTATAATACTGCGTATAATATTGTTATAATACTGCGTATAATATTGTTATGATACTGCGTATAATATTGTTATAATACTGCGTATAATATTGTTATAATACTGCGTATAATACTGCTTGTAATATTGTTATAATACTGTGTATAATGCTGCTTGTAATATTGTTTTAATACTGTGTATAATATTGTTATAACACTGCGTATAATATTGTTATAATACAGTCTATAATATTGCTATAGTACTGCGTATAATATTTTTATAATACTTTGTATAATATTGTTATAATGCGTATAATACTGTGTATAATATTGTTATAATACTGCGTATAATACTGCGTATGATATTGTTATAATACTGCGTATAATTTTGTTATTGTACTGCGTATAATACTGTGTATAGTATTGTTATAGTACTGCGTATAATATTGTTATAATACTGCAAATAATATTGTTATAATACTGCGTATAATACTGTGTATAGTATTGTTATAGTACTGCGTATAATATTGTTATAATACTGCGTATGATATTGTTATAATACTGTGTATGATATTGTTATAATGCTGCGTATAATATTGTTATAATACTGCAAATAATATTGTTATAATACTGTGTATAATATTGTTATAATACTGTGTATAATATTGTTATAATACTGCGTATGATATTGTTATAATACTGTGTATGATATTGTTATAATGCTGCGTATAATATTGTTATAATACTGCAAATAATATTGTTTATATTATAATACTGTATAATATTGTTATAATTTATAATATTGTTATAATACTGCATATAATATTGTTATAATACTGCGTATAATATTGTTATAATACTGCGTATAATATTGTTATAATACTGCGTATAATATTGTTTATTGATATTGTTATAATGCTGCGTATAATATTGTTTAATAATATTGTTATAATACTGTGTATAATATTGTTATAATACTGCGTATAATATCGTTATAATACTGCGTATAATACTGCGTATAATATTGTTATAATACTGCGTATAATATTGTTATGATACTGCGTATAATATTGTTATGATATTGTTATAATACAGTGTATAATATTGGTATAATACTGCGTATATTATTGTTATAATACTGCGTATAATACTGCTTGTAATATTGTTATAATACTGTGTATAATGCTGCTTGTAATATTGTTTTAATACTGTGTATAATATTGTTATAACACTGCGTATAATATTGTTATAATACTGTCTATAATATTGCTATAGTACTGCGTATAATATTTTTATAATACTTTGTATAATATGGTTATAATGCGTATAATACTGTGTATAATATTGTTATAATACTGCGTATAATATTGTTATAATACTGCGTATAATACTGCGTATGATATTGTTATAATACTGCGTATAATACTGTGTATAGTATTGTTATAGTACTGCGTATAATATTGTTATAATACTGCGTATGATATTGTTATAATACTGTGTATGATATTGTTATAATACTGCAAATAATATTGTTATAATACTGTGTATAATATTGTTATAATACTGTGTATAATATTGTTATAATACTGTGTATAATATTGTTATGATACATTATATCTGTGTTTTAGATCAAGCGTTCAGCCCGGATGTGTGGAGAGTGTGACGCCTGTCTGAGGACGGAGGACTGCGCTCAATGCGACTTCTGTAAAGACATGAAGAAGTTTGGAGGTCCAAACAAAATCCGACAGAAGTGTCGACTGAGGCAGTGTGAGGTCCGAGCCCGGGTGAGTCCTACTGACCTGTGACTGCGTATTACTGACCTCTCACTGTGTATTACTGACCTCTGACTGCGTATTACTGACATCTGACTGCATATTACTGACCTCTGACTTCATATTACTGACATCTGACTGCATATTACTGACCTCTGACTGTGTATTACTGACCTCTGACTGAGTATTACTGACCTCTGACTTTGTATTACTGATCTCTGACTTTGTATTACTGACCTTTGACTGCGTATTACTGATCTCTGATTTTGTATTACTGACCTCTGAATGTGTATTACTGATCTCTGACTTTGTATTACTGACCTCTGACTTTGCATTACTGATCTCTGACTTTGTATTACTGACCTCTTACTTTGCATTACTGATCTCTGACTTTGTATTACTGATCTTTGGCTGCGTATTACTGATCTCTGACTGAGTATTACTGATCTCTGACTGTGTATTACTGACCTCTGACTTTGTATAACTGATCTCTGACTGTGTATTACTGACCTCTGACTTTGTATTACTGATCTCTGACTTTGTAATACTGACCTCTGAAAGCTTCACTAACAACGACCACGCCATCAAATGTATAAAATATGAAAGGTTTATTGCACATAATGAACGAATGTGAACAGATGTGGTCTACTGAGGGATGAGGTGAGGGGAATGAGGGATGAAGGGATGAGGGATCAAGGGTAGGGATCAAGGGATCAGGGATGAAGGATGAATGTAGTGTCGAGGAATGAAGGTCGAGGAATGAAGGTCGGTTGGCAGATCGATGAATGGATGGAGGGGTTTGGCGCAATGTAAGAGGGGACCGAGTGGGTTGTGAGACACTGAGTGGGGGAGCTGTCTCTTCGTATCTCTTGTAGAGAGCCCCAGTGGTTCCTGTATTTGGATAAGCTTAAGTAAGTTTGAGCGGAAATGAGATGATTGCAGGGCGTGGTCTTTGTTCCCAAACCTAGTGATAAAACTTCATGTATTACTGATCTCTGACTTTGCATTACTGATCTCTGACTGCGTATTACTGACCTCTGACTTTATATTACTGATCTCTGACTGCGTATTACTGATCTCTGACTTTGTATTACTTACCTCTGACTTTGTATAACTGATCTCTGACTTTGTATTACTGACCTCTGACTTTGTATTACTGATCTCTGACTTTCTATTACTGGCCTCTGACTTTGTATTACTGACCTCTGACTTTGTATTACTGACCTCTGAAAGCTTCGGTAACAACGACCACGCCATCAAATGTATAAAATATGAAAGGTTTATTGCACATAATGAACGAATATGAACAGATGTGGTATACTGAGGGATGAGGTGAGGGGGATGAGGGATGAAGGGATGAGGGATCAAGGGTAGGGATCGAGGGATGAGGGATGAAGGATGAGGGTAGGGTCGAGGGATGAGGCATGAGGGATGAGGGTAGGGTCGAGGGATGAGGAATGAAGGTCGGTTGGCAGATCGATGAATGGATGGAGGGGTTCGGTGCAATGTAAGAGGGAACCGAGTGGGTTGTGAGACACTGAGTTGGGGAGCTGTCTCTTCGTATCTCTTGTAGAGAGCCCCAGTGGTTCCTGTATTCGGATAAGCTTAAGTAAGTTTGAGCGGAAATGAGATGATTGCAGGGCATGGTCTTTGTTCCCGAACCTAGTTATAAAACTTCATGTATTACTGATCTCTGACTTTGCATTACTGATGTCTGACTGCGTATTACTGACCTCTGACTGCGTATTACTGATCTCTGACTGTGTATTACTGATCTCTGACTTTATATTACTGACCTCTGACTGTGTATTACTGATCTCTGACTTTATGTTACTGATCTCTGACTGTATATTACTGACCTCTGACTGTGTATTACTGATCTCTGACTTTATATTACTGATCTCTGACTGTGTATTACTGACATCTGACTGTGTATTATTGATCTCTAACTTTGTATTACTGATCTCTGACTGTGTACTACTGGATCTCTGAGCAGAAGATGCTTCGTGTCAAAGACGAGGAGATGAGTCGGAGTGGAGGCAGGGGGCGGGGCCTCCCGAGGAGAGGGCCGGGGCATCAGACGGAGGAGGAGGAGGAAGATGAGGAGGATGAGGGGGCGTTCAGTGAGAGTGAGCTAGAGCTGTATGAGCAGTACAAAGCTGCGGGATACAGAGATCTGGTCAGTATGTGTGTGTTTTTCTGACCAATCAGCTGTCAGAACAGGCACTTCCTGTGGTGTGATGTGTCTTCCTGTTGCAGGTGTGGCACAGTGAGGATGAGGACGCTCAGTCGGACTCTCTGAGGAAGAAGGCTGTGAAGGTGAAACACGTCAAGAGACGAGAGAAGAAGACGGAGAAGAAGGTGAGGACGGTTTGAACCAGTGCACTGATGATGTCACTGATGATGTCACTGATGATGTCACTGACACACCTGTCCTCCCCTGTAGAAGTCCGTCTCTGCTCCGAAGGAGGAGGTAAAACCTCGTCGTCACAAAGCAAAGCAGCGCCACAGGGAGCGCGTGCGGCACAGCGAGCGAGGAGGAGAGGGCGGGGCCAAGGATGTTGGCGGAGCTCTGAGACAGTGTCAGGGTCCAGGATGCGTCCAACCGGCGAGGGTCAACTCCAAATACTGCTCCGAGGATTGCGGCATGAAGCTCGCCGCAAAGTCAGTCAGATCGCATTTACAATACAATCGATGATAATAACAACGTCTCCGCTGGACTGCTGATGTGTCTCACTGTTTCACTGTCTCACTGTCTCACTGTCTCACTGTCTCTCTGTCTGTCTGTCTGTCTGTCTGTCTGTCTGTCTCCGACCGTCAGTCGGATCTACGAGATCCTCCCTCAGAGGATCCAGCAGTGGCAGCAGAGTCCGTGCGTTGCAGAGGAGATGGGGCGGAGACAGCTGGAGCGAATCAGGAAGGAGCAGCAGGCGGCGAGGCTCCGTCTCACACTGATGGAGAAACGTTTCCACGAGCTTGAAGGCATCATCGCCAATGCTAAACAGCAGCAGGTCCATCACCACGAGGAGGTAGGAGACAGAGGGACAGAGGGACGGGTAGCTTTAAGTTTGTCCATCTGGTTTCTCTGACCTGTCTCTGTCTGTCTGTCTCTCCAGGTGACTGAAGGTGATGGAGATGACACAGACCTTCAGATCTTCTGTGTTTCCTGCAGTCATCCCATCAACCCGAAGGTGGCGCTGAGACACATGGAGAGATGCTACGCTAAGGTCAGTTATCCTGGGCATCGGCCAACAGTGAGAATAACTGACAAACATATCACATCTATATCGCATCACTATTGGCTAGTACAAAGCTATTGTTAGCTTTGTACCGCTAGATAATTTATTGTTTGTTAAAATCAGCACCGTCTGTCAGAATACAGACGTTTGCTGTAAATCAGATATATATTTATTTATTTCTAATATCGAGCTGCATCAACTAACTTCAGTAATTTCCACATCGAAGCCATCAACCTGTCTGTTAGACCCCATCCCAACTAGGCTGCTTAAAGAAGTCATACCCTTAATTGCACTTCTTTACTGGATATGATTAATCTTTCTTTATTATCAGGATATGTACCACAGTCCTTTAAAGTAGCTGTAATTAAACCCCTTCTTAAAAAGCCCACTCTTGACCCAGGGGTTTTAGCCAACTATAGACCGATTTCTAACCTCCCCTTCCTCTCTAAGATTCTGGAGAAGGTAGTCGCCAAAGAGTTGTGTGACTTTCTACATAACAATAGTTTATTTGAGGATTTTCAGTCAGGATTTAGAGTTCATCACAGCACAGAGACAGCTCTGGTTAAAGTTAATAATGACCTTCTGACTGCTTCTGACAATGGACTTGTCTCTGTACTTGTATTATTAGATCTTAGTGCTGCATTTGACACCATTGACCATAATATTCTTTTACAGAGACTTGAGCATCAAATTGGCATTAAAGGAACCGCACTAAGCTGGTTTAAGTCATACTTATCAGATCGTTCTCAGTTTGTACACGTTAACTTCACTGTTTCACTGTTAGATAGATAGATTGATAGAAATACATTATTTATCCCCGAAGGGAAATTATAATGTTATAGCAGCTGAGAGACAATTATTATTAGAAAGTCTTATTGCGGGTGCCCGGTTAGCTCAGTCCTGAGGCTCAGTCCTTGCTGCAGCGGCCCGGGTTCGAATCCAACCTGTGGCCCTTTGCTGCTTGGCATCCCCTCTCTTTCTCTGCCCCCCTTTCCTGTCTGTCTTCAGCTGTCCTATCAAATAAATGCAATAAAGGCCAAAAAAAATACTTTTAAAAAAAAGAAAGTCTTATTGCAGTGGGGAGGAACGATTTTCTGTATCGTTCCTTAGAGCAGCGTGGTTGAATGAGTCTGTTCCTGAAGCTGCTCTTTAGCTTGTCCAGTGTTGTGTGGAGGGGGTGGGAGGGATTGTCCATGATTGCGAGCAGTTTTGCCAGCATCCTCTCCTCCACCACCTCCTCCAGGGTGACAAGCTTCAAGCCAACAACAGATTCAGCCTTTTTGATGATGTTTGTTCAGTCTGTTGGTTTCCTTTGCCTTGATGCCCGCACCCCAGGACACGGCAGCAAAGAAGATGGTGCTCGCCACAACAGACTGATAAAACATCTGCAACATCCTGGGGAAGTAAAGCCGGCTCAGGCCCTTCTTGTAGATGGTAAATGGACCTGTACTTGTATAGCGCCTTTCTAGTCTTCCGACCACTCAAAGCGCTTTTACACTACTTGCCACATTCACCCTTTCACACAGTGATGGCAAAGTCCATCAAACAGAAACTAACTCATTCATACACACTCACACACCAATGCACGGCATCGGGAGCAATTTGGGGTTCAGTATCTTGCTCAAAGATACTTCGACCGGGGATCGAACCCACAACCTTCCGATTAAGGAACGACCCGCTCTGCCTCTGAGCCACAGCCGCCTGGTGACGGTAGCTGGCCTCTGTATTTGTGGACCAGTCCAGTTTGTTGTCCACTGTGACACCCAAGTACTTATACACTGACACCATATCCACATCGGTCCCACCGATGCTGACAGGAGAGGGCAGGGGCTTGTTCCTCCTGAAGTCCACCACCATCTCCTTTGTCTTTGCCACGTTCAGCTGCAGGTGGTTCTCCCCACACCACTTCACAAAGCAATCAACCAGGTCCCTGTACTCAGCCTCCCCTCTGCCCTCCAGACACCCCACAATAGCTGTGTCATCAGAGTATTTCTGCAGATGACACGACTCAGTGCAGTACTTAAAGCCTGCAGTGTAGGTGGTGAAGAGGAAGGGAGACAGTACAGTTCCCTGGGGGGCCAGATAGTCATTGACCCGTTTGGCCTTCAGCAGTCTGGGCTGGATGGTGTTGAAGGCGCTGGAGAAGTCGAAGAACATGATGCGGACTGAGGTTTTAGGTCTGTCCAGGGAGGAATAGGCCTTCTGCAACAGGCAGATGATTGCATCATCAACTCCCACATGGGGCTGAAATGTGAACTGCAGGGGGTCTTGCGATGGGCACACTAATGGTCTGAGGTATGCCAAGACCAGTCTCTCCATGCATGCAGATGATACCCAGTTATACCTGTCAATCAAGCCCGGTGAAATTAATCAATTATCTAAAGGACATAAAAGCCTGGATGAGCTGCAATTTTTGGATCTTAAACTCAGAAAAAAACTAAACTGTTGTACTTGGCCCCAAAAACCTTAGAGACTCACTGTCTAAAGATATAGTTACTCTAGATGGCATTAACTTGGCCTCTAGCACCACTGTCAGGAATCTTGGAGTTATCTTTGATCAGGATTTGTCATTTAACTCCCACATAAAGCAGACCTCTAGGACTGCCTTCTTTCATTTACGTAATATTACAAAAATTAGACACATACTATCACAGACAGATGCAGAAAAACTAATCCATGCATTTGTTACTTCAAGGCTGGATTACTGCAACTCTTTATTATCAGGTTGCCCCAATAAGTCCATTAAAACGCTCCAATTAATTCAGAACGCTGCAGCACGAGTACTGACAGGAACTAGAAAAAGAGATCACATCTCTCCTGTACTAGCTTCTCTGCATTGGCTCCCTGTAAAATGTAGAATAGAATTTAAAATCCTCCTCCTCACCTATAAAGCTCTTCATGGTCAGGCCCCTTCATATCTTAAAGAGCTCATAGTACCCTATTACCCCTCTAGAACACTACGTTCTCTGAATGCTGGGCTACTTGTGGTTCCTATAGTCTCTAAAAGTAGAACAGGAGCCAGAGCCTTCAGTTACCAAGCTCCTCTCCTGTGGAACCAGCTTCCAGTTGTGGTTCGGGAGGCAGACACCCTCTCCACCTTCAAGAGTAGGCTTAAGACATTCCTCTTTGATAAAGCTTATAGTTAGGGCTGGATCAGGTGAGTCCTGAACCATCTCACACACTGATTCACACTGATTATGTCTCTCTGTGTTCTACAGTATGAGAGTCAGACATCATTTGGTTCCATGTACCCAACACGTATAGAGGGGTAAGAACACCTGTCTGTCGGTCTGTGTCTCTTTTCAAGAGTTGTATGCTGTCAGAGTTAGACCTGTCTGTTTCTCATATGCCTGTCTGTCTGTGTTTCAGGGCGACCCGGTTGTTCTGTGATGTGTATAACCCTCAGAGTAAGACGTACTGTAAGCGACTGCAGGTTCTGTGTCCTGAACACTCCAGAGATCCAAAGGTTGGGCCAAAAGGATTAGAGAAACTGATGAGCTAACATTAGCAGAAGCTCGTCTGTTAGCATGCTAGCATAACCTGAGAACTGTTGGCTTTATAAATACTGTCTGTCTCTCTGTCTGTCAGGTCCCAGCAGACGAGGTGTGCGGTTGTCCTCTGGTTAAAGACGTGTTTGAGCCGACAGGAGAGTTTTGTCGTGTCTCTAAGAGGAAGTGTAACAAACATTACTGCTGGGAGAAACTACGCCGCGCTGAGGTCGACTTGGAGAGAGTCCGAGTGGTAACCAAACTTTATTAACACCAGACGCCGTTAACATCCTACTGAGGACTGTAGCGCATAACCCTCTGTCTGTCTGTCTGTCTGTCTGTCTGTCTGTCAGTGGTATAAGCTGGACGAGCTGTTCGAGCAGGAAAGGAATCTGAGGACGGCGATGACGAATCGAGCCGGTTTATTGGCTCTGATGCTGCACCAGACCATCCAACACGACCCAATTACAACCGACCTGCGCTCTGCCAAGGACAGGTAGACAGGTAGACAGGTGTAGAGAAAAACATAGACAGATAGAAAGATTCATTAAAAGCACATATTTCTATTTTAAATGTGTTTGTGAATATTCAGAACAACAGAATGCATTGTGGGAAGCAGAGGCAGCACGCTACAGGAAGTACATTACGTCACAGTGAGGTCATAGATAAAGACGTGATTCTGAAATAAATAACTGGCAATAATGAGACGGCTCTTCCTAAGCCCCGCCCCTTTTGGCTCTGTGCTCCAACCACAGTTACATCAATCGTTAGCTAGCTAGTTGCATCTAATAGCTAATGTTTGCAGAACACTAGCCAACCAGTTAGCTAATCTACATCAGTCATTTCAGATAACTAGATAGCTAATGTTTTTATTTGTAGCAAAATGCTAGCTAACTAGCTAGCAGTGATTAATGTATATTTGTTAGCTAGCATTTTGCTAACCATTAGCTATCTTAAGATGTAAATATATATTTGTCTCTTTTATCTTTTAACCGTCTTCAAAATGTATTTGTAAGTACAGGACAGGAGAAGGTTAACTGAGGCTTGCTCAACTGTGATTGGAGCACATAGCGAAAGGGGGCGGGGCTTATGAAGAGTTCATTATAATATTTAACACCTCCTGTTTTTTTTGTCCTTTGGTGAATATAATGTTTATATTCTCATTAATAATCACATAATCAGCTTTCTGTTTTTATACCGTTTATACTGTTTTATTCCTCAAGGACTACACTACCCATAATTCCAGCAGCCAGAGACTGAACACTACAGTTTTTAATATTTTATATGAATCAATAAGAAATGGTGAAATAAATAATCACATGAATACATACAGATGTGATATTTATATGATGAATAAATGTTTCATAACATAATTATTATATGTATATCATCAGATCCTTTCACAATAAGAGCACATTGTTTCAGATAGGTAGACAGATAAATAATAATAAAGTACTTTAATAATCCCAAAGTCACGCATTCATCTCATGGAACAAATAACTCAACAGTCTGACAGCCAATCACATCACTTCGTTGTGTTTAAATGAGCTGATAATAATAATGACATTTATAAAATGTATATTTCTTCTGTATTTATTCATCTGATTATTTATTCCTAAGAACTCTACATGCAGCTAAAACTTTCATATGTCTGTTTTTATCCTGATGTTGTTGTTATTGTTGTTTATTGTTTTGATATTTGATATTTTTGTTCATGTACAAACTTTCATTAAACATTTACAGTTTCTGTGTTTCTGTTCTGATATTCTGCAGAGATGATAAACCGATTATTAACAAGTAATAAAAATAACGTTGTTTGTCTCATTTAAACCATGTTGACATCAGATATTAATGGAAATGGTCCGCTGGATATTTCAGACTAATTAATAATGCACCAGATAAAAACAATAATATTAATGTTTCTCTTATCTTCAAGACATTTTACTGGATATAAATATGTAAATATATGTCTACAAATGAGATCCGCCACAAATCAAACGAGAGTTGATAACAACAAAAATACTGTAAATATAATCATCATAATTTAGAGATACACATCTTATAGTTCATTTCGTTTTCTGTTGTGATTAAGAGAATTTGTTTTCATGTTTTATTTATTTATTTGTGTAATTCTGAAATAAATATCTTTTATAGACTTTATTTAAACTATTTTATACAATAACAGGCAAAATACTAACTTTTTTAAACTTTATCGAAAGACGTTTGTGGACAATAACATGATGTCATCAGTACTTACAAAATGAATTTATTTATTTGTTTATATTTATTGTTTATTATTATTTTATATTTATATTTATATTTATTATTATTTTATATTTATATTTATTATTTTATGTTTATATTTATATTTATTATTTATTATTATTTTATGTTTATATTTATATTTATTATTTATTATTATTTTATATTTATATTTATTATTTATTATTATTTTATATTTATATTTATATTTATTATTATTTTATATTTATTATTATTTTATGTTTATATTTATATTTATTATTTATTATTATTTTATAATTATATTTATTATTTATTATTATTTTATATTTATATTTATTATTTATTATTATTTTATATTTATATTTATATTTATTATTATTTTATGTTTATATTTATTATTTATATTTATATATGGATAGAATTTATATTTAATACAGAACAGCTGGAGGGAGGCGCAGGGTGACGTCATTCGGGTCGCGCCGACGTCCTGCTCAGTGACGTCAGCAGTGTGCGACAGCGGCTCGTTGGCGCTCAGAGAGAAAAACAGAAGAAGAACGAACACAAAGCTGCAGTAAGTGATCGATTCTATCTGTTTCATATCGATTTTAGATCGATAGCAGACACTGCCCGAGGCCGCTCCGGGTCCCGGTCTGTTGTTTCTAATGAATAATGGAGCAACTTCACTGATCACTATAGCTCTTATTGATCAATATCAATATCAATAACCTGACTGTATGTTCACTATAGCTCTTATTGATCAATATCAATATCAATAACCTGACTGTATGTTCACTATAGGTCTTATTGATCAATATCAATATCAATAACCTGACTGTATGTTCACTATAGGTCTTATTGATCAGTATCAATATCAATAACCTGACTGTATGTTCACTATAGGTCTTATTGATCAATATCAATAACCTGACTGTATGTTCACTATAGCTCTTATTGATCAAATTTAAATTTAAAAACCTTGTATGTTCACTATAGGTCTTATTGATCAATATCAATATCAATAACCTGACTGTATGTTCACTATAGGTCTTATTGATCAATATCAATATCAATAACCTGACTGTATGTTCACTATAGGTCTTATTGATCAATATCAATATCAATAACCTGACTGTATGTTCAGTATAGGTCTTATTGATCATCAATATCAATAACCTGACTGTATGTTCACTATAGGTCTTATTGATCAGTATCAATATCAATAACCTGACTGTATGTTCACTATAGGTCTTATTGATCAATATCAATATCAATAACATGACTGTATGTTCACTATAGGTCTACTTGATCAATATCAATATCAATAACATGACTGTATGTTCACTATAGGTCTTATTGATCAATATCAATATCAATAACATGACTGTATGTTCACTATAGGTCTTATTGATCAATATCAATATCAATAACATGACTGTATGTTCACTATAGGTCTTATTGATCAGTATCAATATCAATAACCTGACTGTATGTTCACTATAGGTCTTATTGATCAATATCAATATCAATAACCTGACTGTATGTTCACTATAGGTCTTATTGATCAATATCAATATCAATAACCTGACTGTATGTTCAGTATAGGTCTTATTGATCAATATCAATAACCTGACTGTATGTTCACTATAGGTCTTATTGATCAATATCAATATCAATAACCTGACTGTATGTTCACTATAGGTCTTATTGATCAATATCAATATCAATAACCTGACTGTATGTTCACTATAGGTCTTATTGATCAATATCAATATCAATATCAATAACCTGACTGTATGTTCACTATAGGTCTTATTGATCAATATCAATAACCTGACTGTATGTTCACTATAGGTCTTATTGATCAGTATCAATATCAATAACATGACTGTATGTTCACTATAGGTCTTATTGATCAATATCAATATCAATAACATGACTGTATGTTCACTATAGGTCTACTTGATCAATATCAATATCAATAACATGACTGTATGTTCACTATAGGTCTTATTGATCAGTATCAATATCAATAACCTGACTGTATGTTCAGTATAGGTCTTATTGATCAATATCAATATCAATAACCTGACTGTATGTTCACTATAGGTCTTATTGATCAGTATCAATATCAATAACCTGACTGTATGTTCACTATAGGTCTTATTGATCAATATCAATATCAATAACCTGACTGTATGTTCACTATAGGTCTTATTGATCAGTATCAATATCAATAACCTGACTGTATGTTCACTATAGGTCTTATTGATCAGTATCAATATCAATAACGGACATCTGAGTGTTTCCTGTGAATATTGATCCGTGATCAGTTTGTATTTGATCATATTTAACAGTCAGAATTAATATTCTTTTGTTTTGATCGATCAATAATAATTCTATTGATTAAGTTTCTGATTATAATCACTGATCCATCACATAATCAATAGCAGCAGATTGATTAATAATGAAGTCAATACTGATCGGTTGTCTCACAGTCTGTTCCTGTGGATCAGAGATGCAGTCTGGATCTGGATCAGAACCTCCAGGATCTGGACTGAAGTCAGTCAGAAGATCTCCTCGTCTGTCTCCTCAGGTTGGACACACACACTGTAACACACACACACACACACACACACACACACACACACACACACACACTGTAACACACTGTAACACACACTGTAACACACACACACACACACACACACACACACACACACACACACTGTAACACACTGTAACACACACACACACACTGTAACACACACTGTAAACACACACACACACTGTAACACACACTGTAACACACACACACACACACACACACACACACTGTAAACACACACACACACACACACACACTGTAACACACACACACACACACTGTAACACACGTACACACACTGCACACACACTGCACACCACACACCACGAACACACACTGTACCCACACTGTAACACACTGTAACACACACACACACACACACTGTAACACACACACACACACTGTAACACACACACACACACACACAGTAACACACACTGTAACACACACACACACACACACACACACACACACACTGTAACACACACACACACACACACACTGTAACACACACACACACACACACACACTGTAACACACACTGTAACACACACACACACACACACACACTGTAACACACACACTGTAACACACACACACACACACACTGTACAACACACACACACACACACACTGTAACACACACTGTAACCACACACACACACACACTGTAACACACACACACACACACAGACACACACTGTAACCACACACACACACACACACACACACACACACACACACACACACACTCTAGGCCTATAGCAGCATAACTAAGGGATGGTTCAGGACTCACCTGATCCAGCCCTAACTATAAGCTTTATCAAAGAGGAATGTCTTAAGCCTACTCTTGAATGTGGTGAGGGTGTCTGCCTCCCGAACCACAACTGGAAGCTGGTTCCACAGGAGAGGAGCTTGGTAACTGAAGGCTCTGGCTCCTGTTCTACTTTTAGAGACTATAGGAACCACAAGTAGCCCAGCATTCAGAGAACGTAGTGTTCTAGAGGGGTAATAGGGTACTATGAGCTCTTTAAGATATGAAGGGGCCTGACCATGAAGAGCTTTATAGGTGAGGAGGAGGATTTTAAATTCTATTCTACATTTTACAGGGAGCCAGTGCAGAGAAGCTAGTACAGGAGAGATGTGATGTGTTACAGACAGTAATAAGCAGACAGACAGTAATAAGCAGACAGACAGTAATAAGCAGACAGACAGTTATAAGCAGACAGACAGTTATAAGCAGACAGACAGTAATAAGCAGACAGACAGTAATAAGCAGACAGACAGTTATAAGCAGACAGACAGTAATAAGCAGACAGACAGTTATAAGCAGACAGACAGTAATAAGCAGACAGACAGTTATAAGCAGACAGACAGTTATAAGCAGACAGACAGTAATAAGCAGACAGACAGTAATAAGCAGACAGACAGTTATAAGCAGACAGACAGTTATAAGCAGACAGACAGTTATAAGCAGACAGACAGTAATAAGCAGACAGACAGTTATAAGCAGACAGACAGTTATAAGCAGACAGACAGTAATAAGCAGACAGACAGTAATAAGCAGACAGACAGTTATAAGCAGACAGACAGTTATAAGCAGACAGACAGTTATAAGCAGACAGACAGTTATAAGCAGACAGACAGTAATAAGCAGACAGACAGTTATATGTTATTGAGGCTGATCAGATTAATTATTGTTCGATAATATAAAGTTATATTATTATAATGGATCAATCACAGCTGATTAATAATCAGTTAATATTAATAATTATTAAAGTCTGTGAAGTTATTGATCAACTTAGATCAATAAATCAACATTTGAAGAGGCAGAGCTGTTGTTGTTGTTGTTGTTGATCTCAGCTGTGTATGAACACAAACATGTGATACGATCAGTTATCTTATCGCTGTTGGCCTCGAGAAGATTATCAGTAATCTATTCTTCTTCTGTGGTTGTTCAACCAGGAGGGACTGAGGTCACTAGCTGCTGTCAATCATTAACCAGAAGAAGAGTTTGACCTCCGTCTCTCCTCTTCCTTCTTCTGTTCATTATTTGCGAGCGGAGGATTCACTGTATTTGAACGTTTGTGCTTTCAGTGCAGCGACGATAAAGGAAAGCAGGAGAAGAAAGGAGGAGGTCGTCTGCAGGAGGCGAAGAGGAGAGGAAGGATGGAGAGGAGCCGAGAGGAAAAGGAGGAGATGAACGACAGGCTGAAGAAGCTGGTGAGACAGATCAATATTATTCTCTGAAACAGCTTCACACAGTGTTATGGATCAATCTGCACCAAACTCCAGAGACAAAAACACCCATTTTACCTTTAGATCATTGTAACATTTATAAATCACCAGGAGTGATAATGATCCTGATCAGCCTGATCAATAATCAATACTCCCATTATTAAAGCATCAATCAACCTGATCAGCCTTCAGCAGTTAGCTAGTGTTTCTGTAGTGGAGACTAAACGTTAACAATGATCCATATCAGCAGTTTGAATCCAACTAAAAGCTCCCTGCACCAAACTCCCTTTAAGAAATATCACATTTTAACAATTCCTAACGTGTTCGTAACAACACGTAACTCTAGAAACACGAGCTAAAGGCCGTCATATGTCCACAGTCTGACTGTCAATACAGGATCAATATCATCCATAAAGATACAGTGTATACTGATCAATAATCAATAAAGATACAGTGTATACTGATCAATATCATCCATACAGATACAGTGTGTACTGATCAATATCATCCATAAAGATAGTGTATACTGATCAATAATCAATAAAGATAGTGTATACTGATCAATAATCAATACAGATAGTGTATACTGATCAATAATCAATAAAGATAGTGTATACTGATCAATAATCAATACAGATACAATGTATACTGATCAATATGATCAATACAGTGTATTGTGTGTGTGTGTAGGATCTATCGTCGGCCTCCAGTGGAACAGGTCTGGTTTACTCTGAGATCTTCACTCATCATAAGAACCTGTGGGAGCCCAGGTGAGTCTGTGGATCAATATATCAATACAAACACACACTGGGACTGACTGTGTTTGATCATTATTATTATTATTATTGACTGTTGTTGTTGTTGTTGTTGTTGTTGTTGTTGTTGTTGTTCAGTCATCCAGAGAGTCCGGACAGAGTGACGTTCATCATGGAGGAGCTGGAGAGACAGGACCTGCTGTCGCACTGCATCAGAGTGGAGGTCTGTCATCAGCAGCTACAGTCCACCAGACTCCATTCACAAAAACAGCATTTTAACAGATAGTCCTAAAGCACACTGGACCGGACAGAAGCAAAATATAAACCAGAAACAGTTGTAATATTACTGTCACTCTCCACCAGACTACATAGGGAAAAATGCCATTTTATTTATCACTGTTTCTGTTTGAGGAGAAAATGTTTCATCAATTATTCACAACAGTTGTTTTGTTTTCCTACAGTCTGCTGTTTACTTTATTAATGTTCAACACAGATAGCTGCTGCTCTGACGTCACTGTCTGTGTTTCAGCCCAGAGAAGCTACAGAAGAAGAGCTGCTGCTTCTTCACACGTGAGTGTTCAATGTGTCGGGGGTGGACACAATAACGGGAACACTGTTCTGGATTCAGGGATCTGGGATCTGGGTTCTGGATTCAGGGTTCTGGGTTCTGGATTCAGGGTTCTGGATTCAGGGTTCTGGGCTCTGGGTTCTGGATTCAGGGTTCTGGGCTCTGGGTTCAGGGTTCTGGGCTCTGGGCTCTGGGTTCTGGATTCTGGGTTCTGGGTTCTGGGCTCTGGATTCAGGGTTCTGGGTTCTGGGCTCTGGATTCAGGGTTCTGGGCTCTGGGTTCAAGGTTCTGGGTTCTGGATTCAGGGTTCTGGGTTCTGGGCTCTGGGTTCAGGGTTCTGGGCTCTGGGCTCTGGATTCAGGGTTCTGGGTTGAGGTTTCTGGGTTCTGGGTTCAGGATTCTGGGCTCTGGGTTCAGGGTTCATGGTTCTGGTATCTGGATCCTGGGTTCTGGATTCTGGGTTCAGGGTTCTGGGTTCTGGGACCAGGGTTCTGGGTTCAGGGTTCAGGGTTCTGGGTTCAGTAAACTGGAATGTCTTTGGGCATTTGAACATGTTTCACTATTTCCTGATATTGACCAAACAACTTACTGATGATTGATCAGCTGATCGTCTGTCTGCAGGAAACAATATCTGGATCTGATGGAGTCCACTCAAAAGATGTCTGACTGTGAACTACACACACTGAGTGATCAATACGACTCTGTTTACATCCATCCTGTGAGAACACACACACACACACACACACACACAGACACACACACACACACAGACACACACACACACACACACACACACACTGTTTAATTGTGTATTATATTGTCTGTGTGTTACTGTGTGTGTGTGTGTGTGTGTCTGTGTGTGTCTGTGTGTTACTGTGGGTGTGTGTGTCTGTGTGTGTGTGTGTGTGTGTGTGTGTGTGTGTGTGTGTGTGTGTGTGTTACTGTGGGTGGGTGTGTCTGTGTGTGTTACTTGTGTGTGTGTGTGTGTGTGTCAGGAGTCCTTCCAGGTGTGTGTGTCTGCAGTGGGGTCAGTCCTGCAGCTGGTCGATCGGGTCCTGACCTCTGAACTGAAGAACGGATTTGCTGTCATCAGGTAACTCAGGTGCTCCTCATCAGCTTGTACAAACCAGAATCACCCACAGGAAGCTTAACTGGACCAGTTGTGACCTTTGTTCATTTCCACCAATCAGAAGACATCACTTCCGGCTGCTCTGATTTCACATTAAAAGCCTTAAATAGGTGAACCACATGGAGGCTTTTATTGTGTTAGCTGCTGTTCACTGATCAGCACTAACAGTATATAGACTGATATAGTATATATATTAGTGCTGTCAGTTAAACGCGTTATTAACGGCATTAACGCAAACCCATTTTAACGGTGTACATTTTTTTATCGCGAGATTAACGTTCTTTTTGGCCTAGCACACTTTGTAGTTTTTTCCACATGCTGTTGCAACAACTAGTAACGTTAGAAAAACTACAACACCACACCGGATCTAGCTAGACCGGAAACAGAACAACAGGCACGCCGCACACACTTGTTTAAGAGTAGTAGACTTTACGTTTTGAGTGGATGGCGAGCGCGAGACGCCGAAATGGATGCCAATAATACTCTGAATGGAAAGTTTACTTTTAAAAAGTTGCCAAATGGTTCCAAAGTGACCAAAGTTATCTGTGTGTTTTGTCGTTGTGAACTGAGCTATCATCGCAGCACGTCCAGTCTGAAATACCACTTGATGGCCAAACACACAGCTGATGCGAATTCTCCGCCCCCTCGTCAATTAAGTATTAAGCCATGGTTTAACTGCACTATAGGCTTACATGTGCATCCCTTAGAAAGGGCTGTTGAAGGGGCTGTTTGTGGGACAAAGTACCTTTACCCTTTTATTGATGGACAGTGTTACATTGTGTGAGAGATTATTTGCTCCAAGTGAGAATGTTAGAGTGAAATTGAACACTACAGTATATGCCAATGTTGTTTTCAATAAAAACATGTTGATAAGAGCAGTTAGAAAAAATAATGGGACAAAAAGAAATCAAGGGACATTTAGAATAGATACAAATGTGCGATTAATTGCGAGTTAACTATGACATTAATGCGATTAAATATTTTAATCGTTTGACAGCACTAATATATATATATATATATATATATATATATATATACACACAGTGTTACTGTGCTCACTGTGTTAGTGCTGATCGATGGATAATGTATAAATATGATCAATTGATCACTTCTATAACTTGAGGATCATCTGGACACAACTTTACCTTTAATACAACATAAACATAACAACAATAATTTTCTCTGTCTCTCTGTCTGTCTGTCTCTCTCTCTGTCTGTCTGTCTCTCTGTCTGTCTGTCAGACCTCCAGGTCATCATGCTCAGTCTAACAAGTCCAACGGTTTCTGTATTTTCAACAACGTGGCGATTGCAGCTCAATACGCTCGGACCAAACACTCAGTCAGCAGGTAGGAATCTATATATCAATCTATATGTCAATCTCTATATCAATCTCTATATCAATCTACATATCAATATATCAATCTCTATATCAATCTCTATATAAATCTACATATCAATCTCTATAGCAATCTATATATCAACCTCTATATCAATATATCAATCTCTATATCAATCTATATATCAATCTCTATATCAATATATCAATCTCTGTATCAATCTATCAATCTATATCAATCTCTATATCAATATATCAATCTCTGTATCAATATATCAATCTCTATATCAATATATCAATCTATATATCAATCTCTATCAATCTATATATCAATCTCTATATCAATATATCAATCTATATATCAATCTCTATCAATCTCTATCAATCTATGTATCAATCTCTATCAATCTATGTATCAATCTCTATATCAATCTATATATCCGTCTATATCTTACCGAAGCTGAGAACGGCCATGGATTTTTCTTTTTTTTATTCAACAAAGATCGTTTTCTCGTGATAACGAATTAATAATGTGTTCGTCTTCGCCTCCTTTTCAACATTGCGTGGAAGTCAAGGACAGTGCCGAAGGAGTGGCGGACTGGGGTGGTGGTTCCCCTATTTAAAAAGGGGGACCAGAGGGTGTGTGCAAACTACAGAGGCTTCACACTACAAGAGTTGTGTCTGGATTCTTGGTCGTAAGTCGGACTCGTTTCCAGTGGGTGTTGGCCTCCGCCAGGGCTGCGCTTTGTCACCAATCCTGTTTGTGACTTTCATGGACAGGATATCGAGCGGTTGCAGTTTGGTGGGCTGAGGATTGCAGCTTTGCTTTTTGCAGATGATGTGGTCCTGATGGCATCATCGGCCTGTGACTTTCAGCACTCACTGGATTGGTTTGCAGCTGAGTGTCAAGCGGCTGGAATGAGGATCAGCACCTCTAAATCGGAGGCCATGGTTCTCAGCAGGAAACCGGTGGATTGTCTACTTCGGGTAGGGAGTGAGTCCTTACCCCAAGTGAAGGAGTTCAAGTACCTCGGGGTTTTGTTCACGAGTGAGGGTCGAATGGAGCCGGAGAATTGTGGCAGCAGGGGCAGTTTTGCGATCCCTTTATAAAACAGTTGTTACAAAGAGAGAGTTGAGCCGAAAGGTGGAGGGATTATATCTCAACACTGGCCTGGGAACGCCTCGGGATCCCCCAGTCAAAGTTGGCCGATGTGGCCAGGGAAAGGGAAGTTTGGGGTCCTCTGCTGGACTTGCAACCTATGCGACCCGATCCCAGATAAGCGGATGAAGATGAGATGAGATGAGATGAGATGTGTTCGTCTTGATTTCAACCTACAAGAGCTGCCATGAATGGCTTCCATAGGATAGATAGGAGTTTGTCAGCCTCTCATCTTCTAACAGGTTGCCCCTAAACAAACCCAGTCAAGTAAACAAACTAACGTAAAGTGTAACTTACCGGTAGGCTAAAGCTACAGCCAGTGGCTACGGAAGCCATTCGTGGCAGCTCTTGTAGGTTGAAACCAAGAGGAACACATTATTAATTAATTCGTTATCACGAAAAAACGATCTTTGTTATATCGAAATAATTAGATAATACGTCGTTATCACGAGATAACAGTGAATAAAAAAAAAATAAAAATCCATGGCCGTTTTCGGCTTCTGTAATATGTCAATCTATATATTAATCTCTATATCAATCTATATATCTCTATGTCAATCTATATATCAATCTCTATATCTATATATATCAATCTATATATCAATCTATATATCTATATATATCAATCTATATATCAATCTATATATCTATATATATCAATCTATATATCAATCTCTATATCTATATATATCAATCTATATATCTATATGTCAATCTATATATCAATCTATATATCAATTTCTGTATCAATCTATATATTATATATTTTTCCATTGATATACATACAGTATGATGTTAGCTTACACTATTGGCAAAAAGGGGCGGGACTTAAGAAGGGACTGCTTAATTCTGATTGTGTGTGTGTGTGTGTGTGTGTGTGTGTGTGTGTGTGTGTGTGTGTGTGTGTGTGTGTGTGTGTGCCAGGGTGCTGATTGTGGACTGGGATGTGCATCATGGTCAGGGCATCCAGTACCTGTTCCAGGAAGACCCCAGGTAAAGTGCTGATCCTCCGTCCTGGTTCCAAACTGTTTCATTCACCAAAACACAGATAAGATTAAACTGTGTGTGTGTGTGTGTGTGTGTGTGTGTGTGTGTGTGTGTGTGTGTGTGTCAGTGTGCTGTACTTCAGTGTGCACAGGTATGAGGGGGGGTCTTTCTGGCCTCACCTCCCAGAGTCTGACAGTCAGTCTGTTGGTGGCGGACGAGCTGAAGGCAGAAACATCAACCTGCCCTGGAACAAGGTGATACTGTACTGCTGTGTTACTATGGTAACGGCAGCGCCACACACACACACACACACACACACACACACACACACACACACAGCCGGTGAATGAACAGATGATATTGATCAGTATACACTGTATCTTTATGGATGATATTGATCAGTATACACTGTATCTTTATGGATGATATTGATCAGTATACACTGTATCTGTATGGTTGATATTGATCAGTATACACTGTATCTTTATGGATGATATTGATCAGTATACACTGTATCTTTATGGATGATATTGATCAGTATACACTGTATCTTTATGGATGATATTGATCAGTATACACTATCTTTATTGATTATTGATCAGTACACACTGTATCTTTATGGATGATATTGATCAGTATACACTGTATCTTTATGGATGATATTGATCTGTATACACTATCTTTATTGATTATTGATCAGTACACACTGTATCTTT